GCGGCGGACACCAGGGCGGAGCTTTAAATTCTCCCTCTATCTGGCAATCGAACGTGTCAGCTTGTAGACTGGAAGGATTCATTATCTCCTGTCTGACCGTATCTGCCTCTTTGCTTCTCTGGTCTTTTTGGATGCTGCTGGAAGCTATAAGTGATGTGTCAGTAGATGAATGAAGCATTCAGAGTGACCTCAGAGCCGTGTGGTGGTGGGGCGGGTTTGCGCCCCCCTCTGTTTGCACATCAAGGCGAGCTTTCCGTGAAAAATCAATACCTGCCTTACCTGTGACGTAGGTGAGGAGCAGTAATACTAAAGTCCCACTACGCTGCTAAAGTGTCGTCTACGTGAGGTACATTTGAAAGGTCACATGTGTTTAAAAGCGGGCTGCCCGGCGACTCTTAACCAGACGCAGTTGTTATCAAACAGACTAATCTGTGCTGCTCAGTGCTGTTTTATTACTTAATGCACTTGATTGGCAGATGTTGACCTTTTAACTCAAGAAGCGACCAATTAAAGGACGACTGTTCAAAGCAGCGCACGCGCGATCCTACAGCGTGTTAAGCTTATAACCTCATTAACAATTTACAGTACTGATAGTTTATCTTAGTTCATCACAGTTTCAAGGTTTTCCACAGGTCTGAAAAAGAAATTCTTACAGGTGTTTTATTTATATAGCACCAAATCACAGCAGCAGCAGCAGCTCGAGGCCCTGCAATAGTACAGAGAAAACCTCAACAATCACATGACTCCCTGTGAGCAAGCACTTTGGCAACAGTGGGAAGGAAAAACTCTCTTTTAACAGGAAGAAACCTCCCGAAGAACCAGGCTCGGGGAGGGGCGGGGCCATCTGCTGCGAACGGTTGGTGGCGAGAGAGGAAGGCAGGACAAATGCACGCCGTGGAAGAGAGCCATGAATAATACTGATTAAATACAGAGTGTTAATTTTATGTATTTTACGTAAGTAAGATAAAATAAGGGGATAAATGACCTGTATCCTACTGGGCTTTTTCACTGTTTTAGAGTTTTGAATAAATACTTTAATACTCGATGCTGCTTGAAAAGAAGTGACACTCTGTTTTAATCCCTCAGTGAAATGAGTCAAATTTGGAATAAACACCAAGTGTGAATGACCACCGTCCAAGAAATGTACCAACTCTCCCCGAGCTTGTTACCCATGTTTGCAGACAGAGGAGAGAACTAGACCTCCACATGCTGTGGATCGCTCGTGCTACGACGAGTCGGATCACAGGGAATTCACATGACAGAAATCAGAGTGCACTTTCCCCCACTTTTACTGAAACAGCGTACTCATTGAAGACGGTCGTAATATTGTCAGCGCACAAGAAGTCTCTTCTCGGACTCGGTGCAGAAACCTTGCGAGATAACATTTTATTCATTGCCCTGCAGATCACATTTTTTTACCCTGGAAATGACTCCTGCTCTTTTCTTCGTCCGCCTTTGTCTTCATCTCAGTCCTATTAAGTCCTGAGTTTCTTCATCTTTTCTCAGAGTTTGTTTTTAAAGTGCTTTCAGGGATCGTGTCTGTTCTCTGATCCTGATTTAATACGATTGGGAGTGTTTGTATTAGCACGATAGCTTTCATGTCAAAGGTGATGCTGTGCCTGTCAGATACGTCTGTGATTCTATTTGCAGCTTTTCTTTGTTGTTCCCAGAGATAAAAGACATTTTGTTAAAACTTTTTCTTTCTTTTTTTTCTACTTTTTTTTTTTTTTTACAAGTTTCCTCATCTCCAAAGTGATATGGATTCAAAACATAAGGTGACGATTTGACAGGCTACTTTTTAAGCTGTCAAATAAGAGCCTGCTCAGTTTTAAATTATGGCTCTCTGCATTTGATGGGAAAATGTGTTTTTGCATGGAACTTTTCCAAATTCCAAATGTGCACGATCACCTTGATCACCTTCATTAACAGATTTCTGTAAGGATTTGCACACGCGTATTGATTTCTCCCTTTGACATTCAGAGCACACCTCATTCATAATTATGGCTGAAGGTTGACTGTTAGTCACAGTATAGCCTGCTCAGAACCACAATGAGCGCTGTTTTTAAGTCAGTGTGAATTAATATTTTATGGAAGCGTCTTCACACGCTCTCCTTGGGCATCTGGTAGCACATGCCAAACCATGTAAAAATATGTTGCATGGCTTATCTAGAGCCATAATGCAGATATCGTACTGCCACCTCATGGATGTAAACGTGGCCACAGAAAGCTGTTTCTGTGAAGCTAAATGGCGCCCTCTTGTGTTCACAGAAGGTTCCTGCATGTTGTTAGTTCTAGAAAACGAAATCATCTATTTTAAAATGTGATGAGAGTCACAGAACAGGTAAGAAAACATCTGGTATGCAGTTTATTAACAGGTTTTACAATACTGCTTGCTTCCTGATGCGCTATAATTAGACCTGTGGAAAAAGAATTAGTGGCGTGTGTTGTGTTGCCAAGACTTTGGTATGATAATGAGACTGTGGCCTAATGTTTTTTTTTTTCTGGCTCATTTTAAAGGATTGACAAAGGAAACAAAGCAGAGCCGTAGCTTCTGAACACAATCCCTGTTTTTGTTTTTGCCAAGACACTGAGCTGGTCTCTTGTGTTTTCACTACAGGAAGCTTCCTAACCAGGTGTAACGTCAGACATGCTGACTTGCTGGTGTTTATATGTTCAGTGTCTTCCACCAAAGCCCTGGATGTAGAAGTAAGCAGCAAACCTGCTCAGAGGTGCTCAGAAGCACTTGTGAGTCATGCACTTATGAATGATTTATTTATTTAATTTTTTTTAATTCGATTTTAGGTTCAGTCATAGTTGAGTTAACCAGCTGACGTCATAAGCTGAAGGCAGGGGAGTCTCTAATTTTAGAAGGATTTGACCGTGTGATGTCACTGAATTATGTAAGACCACTTAAATAGGGTGAGTTTCTCTCTGAACGAGCAATATTCAGGTCTTTGAGTGAGCACCAATGTAAGACACTTATATCTCAGTTTTCTTATATGAATAAAAAAATAAAAAACATACACGATCCACTTACAGCGGCTTGTTTTCGTGTCTGGCAGCTAACATTGACTCTGTGTGTTTTTCTCCCATAGTTACCTCCAGAGGAATGCTGTTGCTTTTGTTGTGCAGGATACATGCAGCCCGCTGGCTATGCACATGTCCCGCTTCTTCCGTCTTTGTGTTTATTGAGAAGCGCTGGGGCGAGCTGCAGTGTGGGAACGTACCGTAGCACCAATTCAGCTTTGGTCTCTGCGATCCTGCTCCTCCCCTCGTGTGTTTTTCTAAGTGCCTCGATTATGTGTCATGGCCATGAATCATATTCAGCAAAATGACAAGCGAGCTTACGTGTCCCGTCATGACAGGGCTTATTAGAAACTCCTCCAGCTGTCATTCAGCGAGATTTTCCTGAGTTTCATAAGAAGAACCGAAACTCATAGTGTGTGTGTGTGTGTGTTGGGTGTTTTCGTGAAACTTCGTAAACCATAACAAGAGACATATATTTAAAAAGTAGCATTTGTTGGTTTTTTTTCTTGTAATTTCAATTTTATTTAACCAGGAAGTCTCTTCACATTAAAAGTTTCTTTTTCACTCGCCAACAAGTCGCACGATTATAAAGTTACAAAAACGGGAAACATCAAATGTAACCTGAATGAACGTTGAAATAAAAAAGAGAAGGTCAGCCTTTGGGTAGCAGGACATATCCATGCAGTTTTAGCCTATATGAGAGCTTTTAACTCTCCCGGGGTGACAAATACATCCAGCTTTAATGCGCTCTGACCAATAGAAAGCCGTTTTACCAATTTTAGAAAAAGTCGTGGGGAAGCCATCGAGAGGAGTGCAAATCATAGCAGTTCTTTGTAAGCGTTAAGATTGGATGCAGATAAGAAGAGTCTGGCTTTGTAAAATACACCAGTGCTCCTTAGGCTTAACAAAGGCCAAGACACCAGATTATAGACATGTACGCCACAAAACATGTGATGTGAAATGTAAACCTGTGTTACAGAGTCTACATGAACAAATGAGCTTCTTCTGCAGTTTCAAATGAAGCTCGTGGCTAAAATCTAAGACTGATACCCCCAAAATGAAGCTAAGTCTTCACGTTTATTCCCTTTCTACAAAACACACACACACACACACAAAACCAGTACTCACTGCTCTTTCTGATGACTTTGCACATTTTGTACGTGCTGCTATCCATCGCAAGCCTGTCATCAGTTGTCATGAAATGAGGGCTTAGCGATCAGTATAGCGCACAGTGTCAACGGGCACTGTGGCCCCCTGCAATGATGCCAGATGCCCCCTCTTTCTCACACAGAGATGCGCTGACAGTTAAGGTGGACCAGGTTTCAAATAGTGAATCGAAGCAGAAAAGAGCTTAAATATGTTGCTTAAAGGTCTTTATAATGTAGCCGCACAAGATCTTAGCATAGCTATACCTTACTCTATGACGCCATCACTGACTTGTCCTCAAAGATGTTCTCCAGTCTTTATATTTTGCTCGTAAATGCCGAAGAGACGTCGTTAAAGGGAAGTGTAATAATCTTTTATTGCGCTGTGCGTTCAAAAATGTGCAGCCGGTTCACAAGATACCATAAAAAGGAAAGAACGCTGAACCAATACAATCTTTAAGCCTAAAACTTTTACCCAAATATGCAAACTTATTTCATATATTTTAAAATAAGTGAAACTAAAGCTCGAACCTTTGTGTACAGAGGGTTATTTCAGAGGCTTTTCAAGAAAAATGACATAAATCACAGTTTGTTTGCATGTAGTTATTTTTGAGTAGCTGGGTGTGTGAGTCCTCGTGCTTCTGGATGTTTTCTGTAGATACAAAAAGCTGGCAAAGGTTGTGAATAATTACTCCACTCCAGTTATTCCAGTCCGCAACTTTGATGTTCCTCCTTACTCTGCTGGGCTGCACCGAAGGGAACAGAGCTCCATACACACACATGTTAAACACACAGCCGCTCAGATTCGCACACACACACACACACACACAGCATGGGGAGGAAGTATGGTCTGTGACGAGGAGAAGAGTCCGGCAGAGAGGGGGCAGTGACAGAGTCAGACAGTGATCAGGGGCTGAAAGAGTTCAGTGATGTGACGTGCAGGCTGCTGCTTATACTGTTGTGACATGAGATCAAGTGTGGCGAGAGGGTGACTGGAGACGTGCTTGCTGCTTGTCTTGTACCTCGGAGAGAGTGGCTGATGGATAATGTGCTGAGTAACTTTTGTTTTAACAGAAGCTTTATAGGAAACAGTCGTTTCGATGTACTGTCATATATCGATATACAGGTTGGCTGGTTGTGTGTTGAAATGTGGTGAATGTGTGAGGAATGTCAGTTGTCAGTCTTTTGTAGTTGCATGCTTTTGTGACAAGGTGTGTGTGAGATTTGTTGTTGAATGCTGAGTGTCTGAGGTGTGTGTGCATGCTGCTTAGGTTTTAATAATGCTACAGTGTATGAGACATTTGTGCGCTTTGTGTGTGTGCGTGCTGAGTTTTTGAGGCTCTAACAGCAGGTTGTGCTTGTAGTTACATGTGTGATAGTATGAGTCAGATAGCGTGTGCATGAGTTCATGTGTGTCGGGGAAATGTACCGGCGTTCACCCTGTGCCAGAGGAAGGGTTCATTTTGACTTCAGTGAGGAAGTCATCAGGAAGCTCCACGCTACAAACCACGGCCACACTCACAGGTTAGACGGTACACATACGGCCACACGCAATTCATGTTGTCATGCTGTGTTTTCACTCTGTCCAACTGTCAAACTAACTTTCCGATTTACTGTAACAAAGTCTCCTCTTGGGTGTTCACTCCTTCTAATCTCTGAGTGCCTCCCTTTGCTGTGTGTTTATCACTTTGCAGCACGAGCAGGCTCGCTTGCATTTTCTCATTCATTAGCCCCTCCCATGTGAGCACTCGTGTGTTTCTTATCATTACATGAATACTTAGCTTCGAAAGCGAATGCACTGTCACATGTTTGGGTGGAGAAAAAAAAAAGAAATCTTTAAACACAGCTGCGTGCTGTGTTTAAAGATAGTCGAGTATTTTGCCATGCAAATCAGTCTGGAAGTGCTGCAATGAATTTGTTTATTATCCAGACTTCTTTCTGGGCTTTTTTTAAGCCACGGTGTAAATATAGTCCAGTTTTGACTATCAGGCATAATAATAAGCAGCTGAGCCCGGGGACGTAACCAAAGAATGAAAAATAAATAAAAAAATATTGTGACATTGAAGGGTCTGTGATCCCCGCAGCCTAGAGCAACGGTGGTAAATTTGACTTTGTCTGCCCGTATCAGCGTTTAGTTCCAGCCCTCATCAACAGACCTATCTATATCACCAGTCATTCATGGCAAGTGGTAAATATCTGCTACTTTAGAACAGAAAGTGTTAAAGGAAGGTGATTTTGTATCAATTTACTTTCTTGCAGCATATTTGTTACAAAGTTTTCATTTGATTCAAAATGTAACAAATATTTGAATATAGTACTTGCCCTACAAGTATTATATTTGTTTTATAGAACATGTCTATAAGCTTAAATTGGGTGTAATGAAGGATGGCTGCATTAGTATTTGCTCTATAAATGTAATCATTTATTACGATGTTATTACTATGTTAGGAATTTGCTTTGATGAACAGCAAAACCTTAAAGCATGTTAAGTATTCATCAGTCATGTAGGCTGTTTCAGGGAGAAACTACACCAGTGTGAAAACTAGGCTGGGTCTCGCCCCAAGAGGGCTGACGGTATTTTGGCTTAGCAGGAGACTGATCAGGCTGCCGGGTGGGACTTTTTCAGTGTTTAGAGAGCGTGCAGATAAAAGAGAAACAACTAAATACAACCAAATTAGGCCTAGATGGCCTTAATGAATTAAATAAAATATCCCGAATTACACGCGAGAAGTAATTTTCTGTTGTTTGCATTAAAGAATCACAATCTGTTTATTTCTGCAGACATTTAAGCAAAAATAGAAGGGGAAATGGGAAATGTAGTGTGTAATTGTGGATGTCTGGAGACGTTGGGCATCAACCTCTCGTTGGTTGGGTGGGTTCCACCTCTGTGACTGAGGGTTTCCTGTGGAAAGTACTGGACTACAGTGAAGAAAGGAGAAGTACACAAATGGTGCACTGTACTGAATCATTAGACAGGTAGACATGTGAGCACTGGGGAGTAATTGCCTTATGACTGCTTCCTCACATTGCTCTGTGTGTTGTGAGTGTATGTGCTTTTGTTAGTAGATCGTTGGATTACATAGTTACAGGCATGCAGCTGCCCTGTGGTGGTGGGTGTGGATGAGTTAACCTATATACTGTATGTCCCAGGGACTGTGTGTAGCATAACCAGCTGGAGCAGAAGATGGGCTTAACCAAATATTTGGCCGGTGACCTGGATTTCTATGGCATAATAACAAAGAGCAAAGCTCCTTGTATCTATAACAGAATGTTTTCTTGGGTGCTGGATCCCTTTTTTAAAATTCTTTTTATTATTTTAAGCCTATACCGATACAGGCTGAAAATACATCAGACCATGGGAGTTTCAGTTTCAAGCTTTGACTGTTGTGGAACATGCTGTTTATGGAGTTACAATAAGATCTGACTTTTGAAACCACATTTAAGTTCTCAATGACAAAGCCTCATTTGTGTGACCGTGACAAGAGACAAAGATGTGTGATTGAACCATTTACCCTCATCTTCTATTTGCTGCGTGTTAAACAGCTGTAGGCATTTGAAGCCAGATTCCTTTTTTATTTTGCTGACCCATTTTTCTCTGCAGCAAAGGATTTTGAATTACAGTGTTTTGTGCTGCTTGTCCATGGGTGGAGTGCAGCTCTGTGTTGTAGAGTTTGTGGTTTCCCAGAGTTTTATTTGCAGTGCACTTCACGACTCCCAAGTCTGCCGTGGTCAAGAACTTTGATTTCTGAGTGACTTGTAAAAGCTAAAATTTAGCCGCTGCTGCAATAAAGTTTGTATGATGATGATGATGGTGACTAATGTCAGTTGAAGTAATCAAAGGGCTGATGACAATAAGGGCTGATGGCTGAGCAGATTAAGACAATGGTGTTGAGGTGTTTGCTTTGGTACGTGCCATTATTCTGATCTGTAGTTAAAGAAATTTACTCTAACTGGCTACTTAATTTGTTACAACTAGTACAGGGTTGGATCGTTTTTTGTCTTAATTCTTGCTGACATGGATTCAAGACTATATCAAGTAGTTTTTAGAGATTTGTCAGCTGCACATCCCAAAGGTCCTCTATGGGATTGAGATCTAGTGACGGATGAGGCCATCTGAGCGCAGGAAACTCACTGTCATGTTCAAGGTGACATGGTGCATTACAACAGCTAGAAGTAGTCATTAGAAAATGGGTACACTGTGGAGAAAGACAATTAATACACAGTTGGTACTCATAGGCCCAAAGTGTATGTGACGGCCACCAGCCTGAAACTCTGATACAAGGCAGGATGGAGCCACGCTTTCACGTTATGTACGCCAAATGTGAACCTACAGCATCCAGAAGTAATCCAGACTCATCACACAGGGCAACGCTGTCCAATGTTCCGTTGTACAGTTTTGGTGAGTCCATCCAAACTGTAGCCTCGGTTTCCTGTTCCTATTCAAAGTCATTTGAATAATTTGAAACACTTCTTGTTAAATTACTTTCACGTTAATCTACATGGGCTGAAATCTATCGTCGCACCAGTTAACAAAATTCATTTTAATCCACGATCCGCCCACATGCTGGCATAAATCCCTGTCCTAATAATGACACAGCCGAGGTCTATTTACATAAAATGCTGCAAGTCTGACTGCTCAGCGCTGTTTTTGTCACCTGCTAAAGATCAGGCTTTGTCTGCTCGGCTGGTATCGGCACACAGTCAGCCTTGTTATCGTTCTCGGTTCACCTGCTTTGTGTTATCTTGTTGCCTTTGCATACAGTCAGCGTTGTGTTAGCAGTAGAGCAGGGGTGGCCAACTCCGGGCCTCGAGAGCCCGTGTCCTACAGGTTTTAGATGTGTCTTGATCCAACACAGCTGATTAAAACGGCTAAATGACCTCCTCAACATGTCTTGAAGTTCTCCAGAGGCCTGGTAATGAACTGATCATTTGATTCAGGTGTGTTGACCCAGGGTGAGATCTAAAACCTGCAGGACACCGGCCCTCGAGGCCTGGAGTTGGCCAAGCCTGCAGTAGAGGATAGTCGTTTCTGGACTGGTTGCACTTTACTATAAACCACTTGTCCTTTGGTGCAAGAAAAATAAAACTACGGACATATCAGAAGGTTGGTGGTTTGAAATCCCTCCAGCATCCTTGGGGAACATAGTTAAGCGATTAATCCCTTGATGCATCCATCAGCATGTGAGTCTGTGCGTGATGGGTAAAAAGCACTTAAAGTGCATAGAATACAGCATTGATGTGCGTTAAACTAAATGTGGTTTATAACAAATGGATTCAGCCTCAAGCCATCCTCAGTGCAATTTGAGAAAAATTGTAATGACAAATTTAAATACCAGCTGAGGTCTAAACACTGATCAACAACAAGGAGTCTTTGTTATATGACAGAAAGCATCTGCAAGTCATAACAAAACGAAAGGAATCGTGAAAAACAAGCAGAATAAGTCATCAATTGAAGCCAAGATAGTAACAAAAAATGCAAAAGAAAAATAACAAATGCATTTACACAAAACTTTCAGCACAACGTGGCTGTAGCGTGAAGTGTTTCGACTGCCCGGTAGGAGCAGAAAAACACTATATTAATACCAGGTCATTTACTATTATTTCTCTTTGTCTAGATTTTTAGTATAAATATATTTCTCTTTTAGTTCAGACGTGCCATTTCTTCAGTGGTTCTCTGCTCTAAATAACATCACACTTCAATTACACCACCTTTAGCTCCTGATTCTTTATCATCACCGCCATCATCACACCTTTGGCCCGCCTCACTGACACGAAGGCCAGCATATATAGGCTGCAAAATGACTTGGAACGAGAGCGTCTGCTCCACGACTCCGTGCCTAAATGAGCATGTATAATGACTTGGTGCAAATCACAATTATGTTACTGACCTCGTTTCTAATAATAAATCCTGTTTCTAGTTGGATTCTAGTATCTAGTTTCATTGTTGCTTTTCTACTTTTTTTTTTACAGTTTTTGAAAAAAAGCCACGTGATACTTTTTAATTCTCATCGTGGTTTTATATAGATTTATTTTTCTTCCATAAAGTGGTTTCATAGCTATAATTCTGGATGTGCTTGTTTTTTGTTTGGGTGCTTTGCAGGGAGACTAGATTGTTGATGTAATAAGGAGGGCTTTGATGAAATTTGACCTAAGTTAATTAATATAAATACTTTTGCTAATGCTTGTTTTGGGTCAGTGGGAAAAAATGCAATGTGGGCTGGTGCCAGCATAGTTTTACACAGAAGTGATATTAAAAAGCTCTATTTCTAGCTCCTAAAATGTAACTGTGCATCAGGGCTACAGGACACCACATGGGAATTTCAAGCACTGTGACTCCCGTGTTCCCTCCAAGAAGTTTGCAATGCCAGCAAACATTGCTGATAATGAAGAAAACATGAATTCAGTTTTATTTATACAGCGCCAAATCACAACAACATTCACCTCAAGGCACTTTATATTGTGAGGTAGATCCTACAATAATACATACAGAGAAAAACCCAACAGTCATATGACCCCCTATGAGC